TTGGTCATTAGAAAAATAAGAACAAAGACTGATTTATTTTTATTTTTGATTACAGCTTGATGCCACACCGTACTTTCAGAACAAGTATGGAATTTTCGGTGTGGATATCGGTAGCCCAAATTTTGCAGGCCGACCATAGATATCGGGTGCGCGTCGGCAGGGGATCGAACCCCAGGCCATGCGCATGGTCGGCGAGAGTCCTAACCACTGTGCCACCGACACACACAACTAACCACAGCAGACTTTGCGTAGGTGGATACAATTTGCAGATAGATAATCTGAACTTCAGTAAACGGCCAAACAGATGAAAGATTGACGTTCAACAAGAAACCGCCAATCAGAAGACTGGGTTTGTTTGCTTACAATAATCTATAATAATGTACATGAAAATCTATATATATATCTGTGGATTTCCTAAATAAACGGTCTGTTGCCTGGCCCTTGTCTTTTTTGTTACAATAGAACAGAGGTTTCCTTATTTGGTAGCATCTTTGTTGGTCATTGAAGTGCGAATCGTGTCCCCGTTTGGAGTTTAGTACTTCCAGCACATTTGGCTGATTATTCACGAAATGTTGGACTAAGTGGTTAATATGAAACCACTGAAAAAACTTCCCACCTCTTTGATGAAGATATATATTGGCGATGTCTTTTTTTAATACTAAGGAATTAGGAGACATGATACTTTTATATCCTCTTGTAAATGCAGATTTACGGACGGTATAGACGTTCGCGTATTGTACAGAGTATACTAACGCAAGATCTTATACCAACAACTTCCATAATATTCCTTTTTCTCGTGTACCAAATACAAAGCAAAAGACCAGATTTAGTCGTCCAAAGTACGTGATATATTTCGGGACCAAATCGCGGGCTGAAATGAATGCTTAGCTGGCTAGTGATCGTGCACGCACGTGACACGACGGAGTACCAAATGGCAAGGATGCTTGACCGGAAGCCTTCAGCTAAACAAGTAGACTTAAACAGTGAGGGTCAGCATCCAATTTTGAGTGATGATTGCTGTGGTCCATAATTTTGGGGAATTATTTACCGCTACATATATATTGGCGATGTCTTCTTTTTTTTTAATACTAAGGAATTATGAGACATGATACTTGTACATCCCCCTGTAAATGCAGATTTACGTGTTAAATTATAAAACCTGTTTACATTTTCAGTATTTCTTTCTCTTAGAATACATCTATAAAAGACCTACCAGACATTTGGATCATTAAAGGATGTGGAATTAATAATTGAAAAATTTGCTCCTTGGACAGAAACAAGCCATTTTAAGGATGATTACACGTTTATAACACCAATGGACGTTAGTAATTATGTGATTTGGGACTTACTGAAAAACCAGGATAGCTTGAATAACTTAACTATTAAAAAAGCGGTTATTACTCGACCAAGTGATTGACCTCTGACAGCTAGGTGAATTTCTTCTTTTGTAAGGAAGAAGTTAGAAAAGACAATTAATGCAAGGATTCATAGTGGCTTCCTAATTCATGCTTCCTAATATCAAAGGCCAGGTTTTCATTGGACAGACCGGCGAATGACCTTGAACGTAGGGTTGTCAACACGTGAAACCGGTTATAAACCGGTTTATAGTCGCCCGGACAGACAGCTTTTATACCCGAAACGTATTTACTCAGGCACCTGATAAGTGTCTCCCTGCAAAGAGGAATCTGTGAGTTAGTTCTCAATAGTAGTAATCATGCCTCATTTTATTAGGTGCTTATGTTAAAATCTCATATTTTTATACCACATTATATACATACCGTGACTACGTAGTCTAGATATTTCAGCTAATCTTATTGTTAACAGCTGTTTTAGCACTTTAAAGTCGTCAGCGTGCACATTTGTTTCCCCATATAAGTACTTATCTTTGCGTAGATTTGTTTTGAATCAATCTCTATAAAGTGGTTAGATTGTCTTTGCGATTCCTCTTATCGTTCGTCGTACAATAAATGAGCTCACTGTGATCAGAATACTCTATTTATTTCCTGAATCCCACTAGAATGAGCACTTTTTTATAAACGACATTTGTATCATAATTACAAGGTACACCATCAGTTCACTTTTCGCTCATGAGTGTTTCATCAATGCTGAGGCTGTTATCAATTGGTTTCATAGTATATCAGCCGTCCGAAATATGAATGGTTTAAGTCCAACTAGAGTCACTTAATGTGATCTCTAACTTTTCTTAGTCGGTTCTTAAAATGTAGTTTGGTTTTGGAATCTTAAAATCTCCACAGTCGATTTTGGTTGTGTAGCTGTGTCATGTTAACTGAGGACACTTATTTTCTGGTATGTGGTAATAACTGCTTGTTTCAAAAATGGGTGTCTATTTTTAAAGTTTGCGAGGCATTAAACTCTTTGTGATCTGCAATCCATAGTTGCTTCAGTAGACGTCGAAAGATACTGATCCTCCCAAGCGAAAAACTTAGTATATTCTACTCGAGCTTCCTGCCAACCATTTGTGAGATAATCCCGCAGAACTCACTTTCTTTAAGACGTACCATGACTTGTGTGTTGCTACACTGACGTGTTGTGAGTTGATTGTTGATGCGATCTCACCACAAGTACAAAAGGTTCGCTTGTTACTCATCACCTGGTATCCCTCTCCAGCGAAGTATTTAGAACGTTTATGCATAAAAGTTTTCGGTATTACCTTGAGCATATAAGACAACCGCTTAAGTTAATATTAAAGGTTTTCAGGTTTTTTGATTCTGGCAGCTATGCTCACACCAGCTGAAGCCATATGGAAAGTAAGAACTGATCCATGAGGTAGTACATTTTGTATGATAGGTGGTGGAACGTGTTTTACTTACATTAAGTCATCACTAATCTAGGAAAGCATTATTTGACTGAATAATGCAAGGCAAGAGATTTCCGCTTTGTTAAACTAAAACTTGATAACGCATAAACGTTTGTTGGTCTCAGCAATTGAAAGAAGTGTAGGTTATTGGACTTGGATCCTAAGGGTTCTAAAAGCCGGTGTTTGAGATTTCCTATTTAGTTGGAAATCACTCAGCTTAAATGGATTTACTCCTTGTCATAGTGTAACAACAGAAGACAAGACATGGAAGCCAAGGTATATTTTCAAGTTATCAAACTGCTATTTAAACAGATAGAGTTTTATATTCTCTAACCAATCATTGAGCGTGTGATTTTGGCCTACATTAAATGACATGTAATAGAATGTTCAAATACTTAATATTCTGTTGCTAACGCAGTATTGAACTGTGGGAATGTGTGAGAATTATATTCCTTTGGAACACATTGTCTGTATCACACTACCACAAAGGTAGTGCTGCATATTTGCATAATTAGAGCCATATTTGCCCACTTAGGTCCTATCCCACACTTATTTTCTTTCAGATTGTGACAGTTTAAATCAATCCACTTTTGTTTGATTTGTTATTCAGCTACTGTTCTTGAACTAGTTTAAACCAGAACGGCAACTGTATGATTTCATATGACGTGGTATCTTGGTATTTCGGTAAATTATCGCTAGTTTATAACTAGGTTTGTAGATCGTGTAGTTCGAAAACGCGGTTAACGAAAACTTGATTAATAAGCAAGTTTTGCTCCGCCCAACTTGTTTCCTAATTGTCTTCATTTTCGGAGTAGTAGGCCGAAACCCTTGTGTTTTCTGCAGTATGTGTCGCTGAGAACTTCCAGCTTTATAGTGTTTACTAAAGGACGTGCTGTCACGGGTTGCAATAACATTTCCAGTTGTTAACGAGTTTGTGTCCTACTAGTAACTTATTTGGTTATATTATTTTCAGTCTACGTAGTTTGCGCATAAATGTGGCAACTGGAGGCACCAATTAATACCTCTGATTATTTCTCATTGGTTTATCTATATTGACTTCTACCTATCGAGGTTTGAACAGCTAGGTGGCAATACCAACACTATCATTTGATTGTGTAGTTCGTTGTCAAGTACACAAATGTTCACGCGATTGCAGATCATTACTAGATTTCACTTATTCAATAAATATATACTACAAAATATGATATTCATCTGAAATGTTTATATCAGTCTGTAAGGCTGATTCGCTCGTTTTAGACCTAGTTTACCAGTGTTGTTAAACTCAGAAACGAAATACATCAAACCATCTGAATCGTGGTTAGCAACTTGGGGAACATATAGTTCGTAGGATAATGCACCATTTTCATATCTTACGGCTTCTGAACAAGCAAAACGACAGTCTATTTTTCAAATCATTTTGATATGTCTTGTGAGGACTACTAGTTCTCATGCATGGTTTCTTACTATGCGTCGGTGGCACAGTGGTTAGGACTCTCGCCGACCATGCATATGGTCCGGGGTTCGATTCCCTGCCGACGCACACCCGTTATCTATGGTTGGCCTGCAAAATTTGGGCTACCGATATCTATGCTGAAAATTCCATACTTGTACTGAAAATACGGTGTGGCATCAAGCTGTAATCAAAATAATCAAAAAATAGACTTGTCAGTTCTTTACACACTTGGAATCTTGTTTATTTTCTTGGTGCAATTTATAGCTTGAATCAGGTCATGGTTTTTAGTGTGAATATTCCGATTTCCGAAAAAAAAACAATAAGAAAATTCAAATTCGAAGTGTATAATACGACAGTTTTCAAACCCCGGATATCATTGTTATAATCGCCGCACCATATCGAGTTTATACTAAACTAAAACATGGTTATAGGCAAATTATTATTCAGGGACTTTTATGGACTGAATTAGCGGGCATTTTATCACAATTCTAGTGATATATTTCTGTTTTGGGCTTATTTAAGTTTATTACCATGAGTTCGGGCGTTCTGCAGTGAGGATTGGGTAGTTTCTCTCTTGATTTCGAAATAGAGGAATCCTTTCACATGAGTGGGAGTAAAATATTCCTGTCGGTACTTTCTGTTTGAATGATATCGTTGTATTCTAGCGCTTAAAATATTGTGCTTGAATATGGAGTTTTGATGTCGTTTTTAGGTTTTTGTCTGCACTTAATGCCACCATCATCGATGGGAGTAATATCAGAATCTGCTGCTGCTCAACTTTTGGACTTTTCTCAGCGTCTCGATATTGGGTTGCTGGATCGCGTTGTCAACTGTATGTATCATGAAGCCGGAGCTCAACAAAAAATAGCAGAAAAAGTATTAAATACACTCAAAGAGCATCCAGATGCGTGGATGCGCGTGGATTCAATCTTAGAATTTAGTTCAAATCAAGAGACAAAATACTTTGCTCTCCAGATACTAGAAGCATTAATCAAAACACGTTGGAAGGTTCTTGCTCGTCCTCAGTGTGAAGGTAAGTAGTGTTTTGGTCCAAAGTATATTGTTGAATTAGGTATTAAAAAGTATATTGTTGGTTTGATTATACAAACTTCATCTAATTCGGAGCTCTTGGAATCTGAAAAAACTTACTTGGGCAAGCTGAATATGATCCTGGTTGAGGTAAGAAATTTGTGCGGTTTGTTAACTGAGCTTTAGATTTTAAAACATGAATGGCCCAATAACTGGTCGACTTTTATTAGTGATATTGTTGGTGCAAGCAAAACCAATGAGTCCCTATGTCAAAACAACATGGTGATTCTACGCCTTCTGAGTGAAGAGGTCTTTGACTTCTCTTTGGGACAAATGACTCAGTCAAAAGCCAAACATCTTAAGGATTCTATGTGTCAGCAATTCAGTTTAATCTTCCAACTTTGTCAATATGTCCTTGAAAATTCTCAAAATGCATCCTTGGTTGTTTCCACATTGGAGACATTGCTTCGTTTCATGCATTGGATTCCTTTAGGTTATATATTTGAGACTAATTTAATACAAACCCTTGTATTCAAATTCTTCAATGTTCCCTTGTTCCGGAATGTGACACTGAAATGTCTTGCAGAAATAGGTTTGTCTTAATGTTCATTTCACAGATTTTTCGTTTAGCTGGTGTGCAGGTTGATGAATATGATACACAACTGATTGAGTTGTTTGTTTCTACTACTGAAAAATTAAAAGAGGTGAGTTTGTTAAATCTTATCTAATTATCATTATTTAGATGTTACCCTTGGAAACACGATTAAAAGAGGCCTATGATCGAGGGAGTAGTGATGAACAAAACTTCATTCAAAATCTTGCAATTTTTTACACCACTTTTCTTAAAGGACATGGCAGCCTCGTCGAAAAACCTGAGCTTATTTGGAATCTACAAGATGCTTATGCTTATCTTCTTATGCTTTCTGAAGTTGAAGAAAGAGAAATATTCAAGATATGCTTAGAGTATTGGAATATTTTAGTTTCCGACTTGTATCGAGAGAGTCTTACAACACCCATGGTCGGAACACTGGGAGAATCAGCAACTGGAGAAGGTCGGAGCAAGCAATACGCGCCAATTTTATCAAAGGTATTTATAGCTTTTAGTATGAAAAATAAAAAAAGTTTGTAAACTGTGTCTGGCATCTAATCATGTAAATGAAATAGTCGGTTTCCAAAAGATTTTGGCATTGGAATCTTTCTGCTCTTGAAATCCGTCTTCACCTGTTATAGCTATGAGAACTTTGTTTAACGTAATACAGAAATTTACTTTTGCAGCGTCACTGAAAAACTGATGCAGCAGTAACCTGTGGTGAAATCTTCGTTTGAAAATGTAACGTAGTTTTTTTTACAGTGTTCATAGTTGGCGATGAATGTTTAAGTCGAGAGTCTTTTAGCGTAATGAGATAATAACTGTGTCTAGTAATATGTTTTGATGCGACCAATTAAGGCCATACAGTTTTAACCCAGTGATTAACAGAATAAAGATTCTTCTCTCATAATCTAACTGTCCTGGGCCTGATCAATATTGTTGTTTGTGGATGCTCACTTTTCAGGCTCAAGACTAAGAGATAAAGTCCAACGGTTTTCCTTGTTCTCTATCTGGTATCAATTACTGAGCAAATCTTACTTAACTCATTGTGTTCTCAGTGTAATTTTACCCAGTAAATCTTCCATAGTCTCTTTCACGTGTTTGAAGGATTTCTTATGACTATATATTATCAGATTCACTTATCAGAATTTAGCTGTTAAATTTTGTGAGCATTAATCTCACACTAAGTCAAGGTACTTTTTATTGGTCAGAACCATAACTAAAAAAGTAAACTTCATAGTATGATTGGCGGTTCTACCGTTAACCGTTATGTGCTCTTATTACAGGCCTTAGCCTATATATATATATATATATATATATATATATATATATATATATATATATATATATATATAATTATAACTGATTACTTTAGGCACACGAATTATTGTCCCAGACTTCACTTCATCTATCGATGTAGCATTATTAATCATGAAATAAGTATGACTTTGTGAATTATCTGAACCCATATATGTTCATTCAATTGTCTTATTTTACAACTTTTTATTTCAGCTTCGAAGAATTATGATTTCACGTATGGCTCGTCCTGAGGAGGTACTTGTAGTTGAGAATGAACACGGAGAGGTTGTCAGAGAGTTCATGAAGGATACGGATAGTCTAAATTTATATAAGAGTATGCGTGAAACTTTGGTGTATTTAACTCACTTGGATCATTCTGTAAGTTCTTTTCAATTTCATCAATTTGTGAAGTTCGTTTTTCACAGCAATTTTCAGTACTCATTTTTTGATTGGTAACTCTACTGAATCTTCAAATAACAGTATCACTACAGCATTTTTAAATATAACTGTTCTGACTAATGTAGTTACTACCCTGGATTTGCACAACACAATGATAAGAGAGATCCTTCCCTGTCAGAAAGGTCAGTCGGTTCACAGCTTGACTAAAAACAGTTACTTAAACTATAGTAGAGGCCTGAGTGTGTGAAACAGTGAGGTATTTGCCTTGGATGAGCAGTCAGCTAGGTGTGATCCTTTCTCATTCTGCGTAGTAGCTAGTAGAGACTAGTCCCAAAAATATAAGTCTTGGTTCACTCAAAGGCGGCTTTTTTGTTAAGTTCTACGTTGAAAACTTGGACAGACTCAACAGCCGTCTGTAGATGGTGGAATTCATAGGCTTAACATCCAAGTATGATGTTATTGACCACCCTCGAGTTGTTGTCTTCTAGACTTTACTGTCGTCTGGCATTCTCTTACTATTTCAAGTACTCAGAGGGAAAATCGTTTTCCAATCTATGGGTAGCTGCAAAGTAGCAACTGCCCAAATCCCATAGGTACACAAAGTTCTCCATTATAGTTCTGTTCAAATGTGGTTGTGATTTTCTTTGCACCGTTTAGTTAGTTCTTTCATTTTTCAGTTTACCGAACTCCTTATGACCATTTATGGATTGTTTAAGTCCAGTTCTTTCCTCAAATGTTGAGCATTTGTTCACCACTGGGACAGATATGAACTACCTCTTGACTTATCATAATGTGTTTGAAGATCACCACTGCTTTGAATAAAATTAAAAGGAATCAAACGAAAAAATGATGATGGCCCATGAAATCTTTGGTTGTTTATTGGTTTAACTGGTCAGCTTTCCTAGTTGGATTGCACAAGATAACCGAAATCAGTAACTGGAGATTGGAATTTCTCACTAAGAATTGTTTGCAGTAGCAGTGTCCGTCGTTTGTTCTTTTCATCTCATGGCTGCTGCCAATATTACTTTAGTCTTTCTTTCTATTGGTCTCTGTCCTAATACAAAGTGCAGCAGCTGGATGCTCCATGAATTTGTTTTTTTTGTGATTCTGTATTTCAGCTGTCAGTCACACGAGGAAACAGTCTATGCTTTATAAGACCGTGATTATTTATTTTTTTGGGCAGTGTGGTTACCCTATCTTTAACTTCACTGTGAAGTGTAGGTAATCAAGCTATGTAATTTTACAGAATACTGAACAATATGTTGAAAATTATATATATTCGTATAAATCTTGCCTTTAAGTGAAATAAATGATTCCAATGTTTCGTTCGGCGAACTGGTCCGAACTTCTTCAGGGGAATTTAAAAGAAGAGTTCGGACCAGTTTGCCAATTGGAACATTGGAATCGTTTACCACAATCACAGTGAAATTTGTACAAATGTAATTTTCTACAAATGTCTACTTTTCACTCGGCGCCTAATATTTATGGAACTGTTCAGTCAAATGTTGGACTCTGTACATTAATTAGGTAAATATTTGCCTGGGTAATGCACACTTCACTTATTAAAGACCTTCTAGTAACTGTAAAATATTTTGACACGACTCTTTCAGTAATCCACGTCCTCGAAATTGGTAAATCATGATTATGTTGTGTTTTCGTATCCTGAAAGATCTGGCGAGAAGCTACTTGAAAACTCTAGCATACGCTAATATTCGATTTCATAAAAGGATTAAGTTATTCTAATTTAAGGAATAGTAAATTAAGAAGTAACATTGTATGGTGGTGTATACTGTAAAAAAAAAGAGACGTAAGGGACTTCAGGTTGCTTTTTAAAGTGTTTACGGATGATCAAGCCGTGGTCATTTCCCTCAGGAAAACAAAGGAAAACAGTATTCCTCGTTTTGGTGATCTGATCGGATTATGAACTAGGAATTATCTTTTCCGCGTCACCTAAGATATCAAACCGTTCCACTGTGTAGTAGATTCTATATACAAACCAACTTGGATTTACGGTGCATAAGTGTTCTACTCTCAGTGTATTAGAAAGTTTTCCTACTTACTTAGTGTTCCTGTTAGTTCGATGTGCAGCTAATTCTAGCCATTCATTTATGATTTGTTTTTTTTTAATTTTAGGATACAAAGAAAATCATGATTGAAAAGTTACAACACCAAGTAGACGGTCGAGAGTGGTCTTGGCATAACCTTAATACTCTTTGCTGGGCAATCGGCAGTATCTCCGGTGCTATGCAGGAAGATGATGAAAGAAGTTTCTTGGTTGTTGTTATACGAGACCTATTAGGGTTATGTGAACAAAAACGCGGTAAAGATAATAAGGCTATTGTGGCAAGTAATATTATGTACGTGGTTGGTCAGTATCCTCGATTTTTGCGTGCACATTGGCGATTCCTCAAGACTGTGATTACAAAGCTTTTTGAATTTATGCATGAAACGCATGAGGGTGTACAGGATATGGCTTGTGATACATTTATCAAGATTGCTCAAAAGTGTCGACGACAATTGGTGACTATACAAGTAAGTAGCTTTCTTTGAATGATTTTATAAAATGTACGGTGCATGTGAAGGCTTGTTATTTCCTTCCTGGTCCGCTTCTCACCATATGCTCGCTTTTTCCATTTATATTTAGTTGTAAATTTGATTCATTTATTGACTTTCAACTGTACCATACATAGAATAGTCCTGTTAAGTAACGTTTAATCGATAGTTTGTTTCTGTTATATTCGACTACCATTCGAATGAATGCATTACTAACCTTACTGCAAACTAGCCTACATTATTGTTAATACTTAAACCCATTGGGACTCCCTCACCCTTCCACCCTTAGGACTATTCTAGGAAATGAAAACCTAATCACGTAGTTCATGGTAAAAAGTGTCAAGTCCATTCAGCTGTTGTAAGCAAGTAACAGTTAAAATTTTTTTTTGTAATTTCCCATGCGAATGTTAGTTTGTAGGGATTTGATTCGTTTCAAGTACGAACATGGATTGTTGTCGGTTAAAGAACCACTAAAAGCCCCATAGTACCCGATAGCTGTGTCGTTCTAGTACGGAGTTCTTCAGCACAGTATACACCCGTACCTCCCTTCCCCCGACGGGTATCAAACTTTAGGACCTTTAGGTTACGAGACAAGCGCGCTGATTATTCAGCCACTGGAGTAGAATCCAATAGCCCATGAATTTCAACTTCTTCCAATTTGTAACACATAGTGCCACCGCCATCCAATGACATCGTCGAGCACCCCCCACCTTAACCCTGTGGACCCTACTGGTGACGATTTTCCACTAGCTGGTGGTGGCGCTGAAAATGGCGAATAGATAGAAATTAGTATTCGTGGGCCTTTAGATTCGTCTTGCAACCTGAACGTCCTGAATTGGATCCACGGAGGTTTCATGGGTATTTTAGTGAAGAGTCCAAAACTAGGACGAAACAACTGTCCAATACTCCTTGGTTTTCAATGGTTCTTTAACTGATATCAATCCGTGATCAAACCTAAAATGTCTCTTGCAAAATTACTACTTATTGTCAAATAATCGCATAGTTATTGTTCGCAAATATCCTTTAAAAAATGATGTTTTGTGCATTGATTCCCTCATTATGTTACTTTATTGTTATTACTGAACTAAAGATTTAGATGACAGCATCATTATTGTCGACAAAAGTGTGCAAAGCCAACCATTTTAATAACTATGATTAGTCTGAAAAACTATTTGGTGGTGATTATGTTTTGGTCGGAAGCATCGTTATTGTTGTTAGAAAGTTAATGTACATGTTAATATTAACAGTCACTTGTTGGACGTATAATTTCTTAAGAAAACCAGTCTTGGGAATCTAATTTCATGATAATATATTTTGTCAAAATTTGATCGTGTTATTTGATTTACGCGTACATATCGCATAAATTCTCTGATGATTCATTCTGTGTTGTTTACTCCTACTTAGTCGTATTCTAATGCATCTTGATTCCTTTTGGTAGGAGCTGGTATCAAGAAGACAACAACAAAAACAGCCCATTTATTCTTCATTCTTAGAATTATTGACGAATTTAATCAGATACATTGCAATGTGTCCTACTGATTACTTGAAGTCCAATTAGTATTATATTTCGTTAACACTTCTTCTTGATAATTGATTCATTTTGTATTTTGCATTTACAGTACAGTGAAGCAGTGGAATTCATTGAGGAAATTTTAAAAGAAATCGATATAATAATCAACGATTTACAACCACAACAAGTGCATACATTTTATGAAGCTGTTGGAGTAATAATCAGTGCCCAATCGGATTCAGCTGTTCAAGCCAGACAAATAGAACGACTCTTCCGATTACCTAATCAAGTAATGTTTTACACATTTAATTTATAACCTGTTAATTATAATAGATCTGGGATGGAATTCTTGTACAAGCTGCAAGTAATATTGAACTGTTAAGAGAATTTGAAGTTGTAAAGCAACTTTGTAATTTGTTAAAAACAAATCATAGTGCTTGTAAATCCCTTGGACATCCCTACCTTGTTCAGGTAAGTATCCATAACACACAAAAAATAAAAACATTTATTTTGTTCTTCAGCTTGGTCGTATTTATTTAGATATGTTAAATGTCTATAAGATAATGTCTCAGAATATCGGTCAAGCGGTAGCCACCAATGGGGAACAAGTGACAAAGCAACCACTTATTCGCAGTATGAGATCGGTTAAGAAAGCTATACTGAATCTATTATCCTGCTGGATAAAGAGATCTACAGATCCTGTATTTGTAAGTTGTATTTTTTTGCTTTCTGCAAATATTTTCTACTCTTTATATTGTGGTAAAAGTTGTACTAAACATTTTTGTCTATGTGTGTGTTTCTGCTTATAATAGGTTGCTGAGAATATTGTGCCTCCATTGTTGGATGCTGTAGCCGATGATTATCAAAAGAATCTTCCTTTCGCTCGAGAAGCAGAAGTTCTAAATCTGATGGCTACTATTGTTAATCGTCTTGAAGATCATATCCTGCCGGCACTTCCACGGATTTTAGACGCTGTCTTTCAGTCCACCTTAGAGATGATTGATAAAGACTTGGAAGAATTCCCTGAACATCGAACGAATTTCTTTACTCTTCTTCAAGCTGTAAATGCTCATTGCTTCTCAGCTTTGTTAAGTCTAACTCCTGATAAGTTCAAATTAATTTTGGATAGTGTAATATGGGCGATAAAACACACAATGCGACAAGTAAGTATACCTATATATTTTTTTCAAACGTTATAAACTTCTATTGCTGATATTTCCATCATCTTGAATACATCTGAAGATTTTTTTGTTCAGGTGAATATTGTCTATGCTTTGAAAGAATAGAACAAATTAGTGCATCAGTTCTAATTGTTACATATTTTGACCACAAAAAAGTCCTCCAAGGTGTGGGAAATATTCAGAGAGAGAGAGTAATCATCAGATAGGATATTAATATAGGAAGAAATATGTTGCTCTACGTGGAGTTATCTAGTCTGAAGTGTAATGTGTGTGTGTGTGTGTCAGTGGTAGAACGCTCATTAACCGCGACGCATGTATTCCGAGTTCGGTTCCTCACTAGAGCACTCCTTACTTAGATATGATGGAGAAGATTTGTAACTTAGGTGGATGATTTTGATGTGGTTGTGTTCTCTGAGCTGGATAGTTAGTTAATTCGCGAAGCTTTCATCGCCCTACTAGGCGACATCTTCAGCGCATACTTCAATTTGAAGTGAGCTTTTAAATCTCTCCACGAGTTTATTAATCATCTCTCCTGGTGACCTTGGGCGTGATTGATTGTTTTTGTGTGTTTTCATACCTTCTAGGTTATTTGTATTGTCACTCATTGTTTCTTTGACTTGAACTTTGACCCTTTGTGTGTGAGGTTTCTTTCTTATCGGTTGATAAATTTTGTCTATCTCGTTGTGTCTATTGATTGATGATTCACTGGAATACCAGTCTTCTAAAAATTCTCTAGCATTCTTGTTGTTCCCTCTGTCTGATATCTGGACGTTGTCCTAGTCGAGTTGATGTCCGTGGTTGTCTGTATGTAGTGATATGAGGGAGTGGATGTCATGTCTTTTGACGGCCAGCTTATGTTCGTGAATACGAAGACGAAGAGGATGTCCACTTAGGCCAATGTAGTGTTTTTTGCAGTTGTTACAATTTATTTTGTAGATGATGATTAATAAACTCGTGGAGAAATCTAAAAGCTCACTTCAAATTGAAGTATGCGCTGAAGATGTCGCCTAGTAGGGCGATAAAAGCTTCGCAAATCAACTATCCAGCTCAAAGAACACAATCACATCAAAAACTCCTTACTTAGTCGATAATAAACCTGCGAAAGGGAAAAGTTGCATGGGAGGCCAGCAACCTCATCGGGTGAAATTCACATCACCACCACCGCTACTGGAACTTCATAGCTGCTCAAGCTTGACGCCCTATTTCCCATTCGGAACGCGAAGGAATAAAAAAAACAACTAGGTATTTCTGTACAAAATAGGCTGTAATTTTATTTTAAACTAGTGAATTTATGTCTAAAGCATTAAAATTAAATCGGTTAACTAACGATTTACTATCACCTAATATTAGGTTCTCACACCTGAGACATTAATCTTCACATATTTTACAAATGCTTAAGTTGATGCCGCAGACACACTGTAAATCCCTATTACCTGTTCATTTCTGGTGAAGATTGATAGGTCGTTTCATTTGATGATCAGAGTTTTTTGCTTAAATTGCCTTCATCACTTTTTATGGCGGTTCAGGAGCACAAATTAAACTTAGTCTGTGTAAATGCATTTAAAGCTTTTCTGTGTGTACACACATGCAAGCTGTATAGAAAAGTTCAACTGAAAATGTCACTTGTTGCTGCTTCATCAGAATCCTGCTGTATCAAAGGACTAAACTTTTTCAAAGATGAATTCATGCAGACATGTAAAAACCACATAACTTTCGCATATTAGCTAATTTCAGTCTACATTTTAATACTCTGTCTAGTTTTGTTTAGCCTTATTATACAAGCGGATAAACCTCTTTAAAAGTCTATTAAAAGTTTCATGCCATCTAGGTGTACTGTCTGAAGAGATTGCTTCAAAAGAATCACTTAAAATAACAGAACCTCCAGACAATGGATGAACAGAATAAACTCTTGTATAACTTATTTCTCTCGGAGTTCATGTAAATATATTTGGTATTATAGGCTAGTCAAAATATTCATAATGTTCGCACTTACTCTAATCCTCTTGCTTTTCACAAAAACACTTCTACGGATATTTTACTATATTTATTTAAACGCAGAAAAAACTTGGTACAATATGGCACCAAGAAAGATGCGCCACACCAATAATAGTTTGTTGCTTCATTTCATTTATTGTGTGAGGGCTGAGATACTGCCCGGGTGCCCAGACCGAATCAGGTGGTTTTCTTAAGGGACCACCCCCCGGGCCTTTGACTTGGGGTCTAATCCGCAAGGCACCTGAGCTGCGTTCCCATGGTTGCCGGTGACCCATATGGGTTCATACGCCATTTGATCCGATTGAATTCTGGAGCCCATGTACCCCATGGTAACTGCTTTTAGTCTAACCGCTATCCAAACAACGTTCCTGACATGGTAGGAACTGCAGGGACATGAGTCCCAGCCAGTTTAGCTTGTTGGGTCACTGCGGCATTCAAGCCCGACCACCACGGCAAGGTAGCAGTTGTCGGCCGGGACTTCTACGGATAGTCCCATATTGTGTATGAATCAGAGATTTGCGAGCATAAAAAACAGATTTTGTGGATGATGGTATCTGTTGATAAATCTATTACTGAAATAGTTGTCAGTATGAGTAAAGTCCTGATGAATTACAAAGCAGTTTTATAGCATAACGATAACTATCTGGCTTATGTCAATGCAGTTTTTGTCATGTAATTTCAGTGTACAGTATTATCCTAATTGTAAGTCGTTTCACCCACTATCGGCTTTACAAATCAATCATTCGACCATCTTTCTTATTTCAGGTCTCAGAAACAGGTTTGAATATCCTACATACAATGCTTGTAAATATGTCCAACGCTAATACTGAACAAAGACAGGTATTCTTTAAGACATTCTTCATGGACATCCTGCAGCATATGTTTGCTGTTATCACCGATCGTTCTCAAACAGGAAGTGAGTATTGCATTTAATTATTATTTATGATGTACACTGTATTGTCGGTAGTCAAGTGTGTCACTATTATGGTTGGTGAAACTTACAGTACATAAGCAGGATCCCTATACTAGATGTCTATGATTAAGGAGAAAGCTGGCATGAACCCGCAAACACCAATCCCAATAAATAGACTACATATCCAACAGTTTGTTGTAGTAAAGATTTTGAATAGTCTGATTAACCAGGAAGTTAATTTTACAGTCTATATATATTATAGTCTTTATATTACATGGCTACTTACTATAATAAAATGATCTTCCGCTGATTGAGAATAAATTGTTAGTAAGAATTTGTTTTTAGATGATTGTGCACTATGATGTGCAGCATATTTCTTATTTTTAAATATTTTCAAAGCAGACTGAATAACGCGATTAACGAATATACCTTCAATCATTCCTCTTTTTTAGATTTAACTCTTCAGTCTTCACTACTAGCCTACATGTTTAAAATAGTAGAGAATGATATCATTACAGTACCTCTTGGCGATTCTCCTGAAACAACGATTGCACCAGGTTCAAAAGTCAATGTACAATATGTGCATCAAAGCCTAAGTCAATTACTCAAACAAGTTTTCCCTCATCTTCAGGATACACAAATTCGTGTATTCATTGATGGATTGTTTTCATTTGATCAAGATGTTGCAGCGTTTCGAGAACATGTACGTGATTTTCTGGTTCAGATACGAGAGGTTGCAGGAGAGGATTTGTCTGATTTGTATTTAGAGGAAAGACTGGCTGAAATTGCTCAGGCTCAGGCAGCGAAATTAAAACGTCAAGCCTGTGTTCCTGGAATTTTAGGTCCCCATGAAGTTGATATGTGTGACTAGTTGAGAAGTAGTTTTTCTTTTACAACAATACTTGTGGATCTTCGATGCATTTTAAATTTTTCTTTTTTTAAAAATATTTTAACATTCCTTAATATAATTCACATGAGTGTTAAAGTTATTCCTACTTCCTTAGTTACTTCCAACTAACTTTTCTCTATCTATGCCACCTGAATATATATACATATATATATCGTTGTTAATATAACATTTCTTAGAATACATTATGCACACATGGCAGCTTTCCTTTTGTAATACAATATATATCTTCGTTGACATTTTTACAGAGATAATCTTTACTCTAATTTACGGGTTGTTATTTTCCCCAAAAATTGTTTGCACTAAATCGATATAAAAAAAAAAAAAGTAGCAGTCTATCTTGAGGTTAATGGTTTGAAAACAAAACATCTAAGTATAATATTGAAATAATACGTATATATATATTTAAAGAAGTGTATCAAAATGTGTTTCCATTCAAAATTCAATACAAGAAAGACTATTACATTGAGAGGTGGTTTACACACTCTCCATTTCTTCAAGACTTAGTACTTCAACAATGCGCTTGACCGTTGAACTTTTTGACGTTTCTTCTGCACACTTGTTTATTGACAATAGTACAGGTAATCTGTCGATAAGATCACTGAGTTCACCTCGAGTTCTGCAGTAGAATCCGACAGCACAACAAGGGTCGAGTTTTGCTGCGTTCATAGTTTTTGGAATAGGACAATACCAAGACTAAAAAGAAGAAAGTTTTTTAATGAGAATTAAATATAAACCATTATCAAACTTACTGAATAAGGGTGATCATAAGATGTAGTAGTTGTTGTAATGTAGTTGTTCTTTGCCACAAATAAGTATTAGTTAAAGACATAGTTTCAAATCAGTGTGCTCCATCGTGGTTTGACACTTTAAAGTGAGCAAGTCACTGGGTTGTGAAGCCGAAGCTTTTGTCAGTTTGCTATAGATCTCCATCTATGTAATCTCTGAGTAACTATTCTTATGCCTTCGCGATTTCGATTATAAGTGCTATGATACATTTTGGAATCCAGCAATGTGGTGTCCAGTCATTCTTAACGAATGTTTAGTTCAACTAAACATGGATTAGTTATTTTTTTATTTAAAGATACGCCTTCATCAACCTGAAATCAGTTTGGAAATCTTCTACACTCGCTATAAGGAACGAGATTCGCATTTTCAACACTAGTTTCAAGTCGGTCCTTTACACGTATCAGAAACTTGACATGCGCTTCACGAAAAGGATCTCCAACAGGTTGCAGACTTTCATCAACAATTTCCTTCACTCCATATTGAAGATCAAATGGCCAGTCAAAAAGAATTAGCAACAAGAAATTCTGGCACCAAACCAACCACGAGTCGATCACTCAACAGATATGTAGGAGAAAGTGGAGATGGACCGGGCATAAATTGAGGAGGCCGCCGAATGATATCGCGCACGCTTGAGTGGAATCTAAATAGGAAACGAGTGGGTCGTCCTAGGGTGACATGGAGGAGATCGTTAAAGCAGGATGAGATGAGAGATTATTGGCAATCGTGGACCCAGCTGAAGAGGGTGGCAAAAAATAGAAGAAAGTGGAGATGTGTTGTTCCATTTGGAACCCCAAGGAATAATAGTAATACAAGATAACTAGTTGTCAAAGCTCACATATGAAATTCAAGTTGCACACAAGAGTGCATAAGAGCGTGGCGTCCTCGAATTGGATGGGTTGTTACTAATAAGTTACAAGTGAAGGAGACCTCTGTAGTATGTTGCTAATAATAATAATTGGTTTCATAGAATACCTATTTAGGTTATCAAGTGACCGGACTGCACTATATAGGATGATCAAAAATATATAGCAAAAGACTAGTTATTTTGTTCTCTATGTTCCAGAATTCTGAAAATTAAGGTAGTCTTGCTTGTATAAATGAGTGACGGACTTGATTCAACGATATCCTAAGCCTGTTAACTGTTCTGTTATGCCGCTCGAAGGTTGTTTACTTACACAGAACTATGTGAAACATTAAATGTCTGCATAATTACTTTGGGAAAGCAAAAAACTGTTTTGCATTCCTACTGTTGCATATCCACTAGTATTGCCCAGTGAAGCGCATCTAGCGATTCATTCTACTTGAATAAGCACATGGGAGGGCACTGCTTATGCTTTGTTGGTGTCACTGATCTTGATTTTGTTCTGTCTAACTAACCATCATGTTGTCGCAGTTGTGAAATACAGCGTTGAGTTTTTGGTATGTCTGTCTATCTATAGTTTATTCCTTCTCTTTGTAGTTCTCAATGCGATAAGCGCTTACAAGTGAAAAGTTGATGTATGTTATACTGAAAATTAAATATGCGCGAAAAAATGTCGCAAAGTTGGCACTGACTGGTGTAAATTTAAGAACATATGAGAGAATGTATTATGCACAAAAGTTTAAGCATTCATAATTACAACTGACAAAAAAAAGAATCATACTCACATCTATTGGAAATTTAAGTGAATCTAACCTTTGAGTTGGTTGTGTAAAATGTGGATCTAAATATATTAAAGAATCATTTTGGCAGCCAACATAATAACTTGAGTGTTTTCTACGGCCACCAATTAGCCCTACAAAAGTTGGATCAGAAAACAGACTCAGTATCACCTGTATGTAGCATGGATTGATACAGTTTTCTTTGCCAAACATTAGAGGAATAAGGAGAAGGATAGCCGATGATCCAGTATTTTCGGAATCTAGTTTGATTGATAAAGAAAAAATTGAAATATGGTAGATAAGTAGTATGTAACACAACAAAAACAAAAGAACTGCAATGATTGCAGTTTGGGGGTTAATTTTGCTCAAGTAATAGGCCAACAATCTCCGATCATAATAGAGATTGTTTTCCAATTAAATATCCCTAAATTCGTTTTTCTAGGCGTTTGACTTACAATGAGTGGGTCGTCACAAGGTTCGAATCCCGCTACACTTACTCGCGTTTATTTGAGCATTCAGGTAGTAGCACCGGCGCTCACTTAAAGGGCATGGCTTATTGTCAGCTGCATGGGATTCCATATGATTGTTAAGTTTTATTTTTCCCTGAAACTCAAAACAGTTGGGCACATGCATCTAAGTGACTATTAACCTCGTAAGAATTCTCACTATTGTATTCTATGCGCTACTGACTTATATGCTTCCTAAATAGTTAGGTTTGAATATGAAAAATTACATTTTCGGTCGTGAGAATCTTTCAGTTCTTTTGGGACACTTACAACTATCATGTTTTGCACGTAACCTTTAATAAATCTTAGTTTATTAGACATAAACTGAATTTTTCAAGAGCTGGTCAATAGGGTTTCGATTTGTCTCAACTCTTCAACTTTAATTTAATGCTTGCTAGTGACAGGCTACAGGACGAGGTTGCCTGGAGTTCTAGTAAGAAGTCGTGGCCGGTGGAGTACGTCAGGACGAATACTTTCCGATGACATCGCCTGGTGGTCAGGCCAAAAACCACTAACTGGTAGAAGTTGGAATTCATGAGCCATTGGATCGGGTTCCATTGACTCAATGGTCTATTAGTTTTCCTTGTAACCGGAAAGTTCTGGGTTCGAATGCTGTTGAAGAGTCTCAGACTGCGACGAAATAGCTGTCCAGTACTCCTTGGTTTTTTAACTGACACCAATCTGTGATCAAACTTAAAATGCTTATAGCATCCAATACCACACGTGGCAGTGTGAAGCATTGAGATGACATTCATTCTACTTCAAACTCTGCAGCTGGATATGGCAACCATGGATCTGAATATGAAGTGCGCTTCCTACAACATTTATCAAGGATGCAAAAGTCCTCCATCTACTTTACATTTTATGTGCATTATCAGTACATTTATCAATTTTGTCGACTTCACAACTCCTTTTGCCTGATAGCTAAGGTCTGAAGCTGTAAGCTATGTTGCTAGGTTATTCAAAAGATATAGGAGTATGAGTGAGCCAGTGTTTGGAGACATTTATTCAAATATACTTCAATAGCCTAGCAATATTTCGTTTACTGTCACGTATAGCTAAATGAATAAATATATTCTGCGTTAATGAGCTACAGGAAAATTGTTGCACAAGATACAATCCTTTACCAAAAAACGAGGTTGAGTCCTCGCAAATGTTTGTTCACTCACCCTGCCTGAGGAAAAATTGTTATATATACATATATATATACAAAAAGATCTAGGTTAGGAATTGTTTTGTGTTTTCAGTGATGAACTGTTAATATCACTCATAAAAATGCTGGGAAGTGAACGAAACAATAAAGTGATTTTTGTATTATAACTTATCAAATGATGAAAAGGGGCTTTAATCTCAAAGCTATCTCACGATGTTTCCACGAGTAAGTTAGCAAATGCTACAGCAGATATTCCAACTGTGTAAGGAATTGGATATAACATCTTTAAAACAGCCAAATGTATCATCTGATATGATTACAGTACCCATAGGTTGTGAAGTTAGAAAGATTGAGATGGTCAGGAGGTATGTTATGCATGCATGTCTAGCCACCGCCTTCCTCGACGGGCAATCTTAGGTGAATGACATAGCATTGGTTACGTTGGAAAAGAGCTAGTGGTGGTCAAAACAAAACATGGCCTCGTCAGTCACTGAAATCTGCAACAGTTACTCTAAGTTAGTCACTTAGGGAGGTGTAGACTTCCTCGTTCGAGTCCTCGAGACGGTGAAAACCAATGGCTGGAAACAATTGGCGATATTGCTCAGGATCGATCTGTGGCGCAGATGCAAGCACTCCTTGTAACTTATAATACATAATGAAACTATATTGTTCTTCGTTATTAGTATTCTTTTTGCCTCACACTTCTGTTTATTATGTCTCTCTTTTGACTCTCTCCTCTTGCTTTGTGTGCTACATGGAGAGAGTGTGGCAACTGGAACTGCTTCACATCTGTGCAAAGTTCTACGCTGAAACCAGTCAGTCAGTATTCCTAAAGACAATTAATAAAGAATCAACTATCTGAGGATATTTCAAGT